CACGCGCGACTCAAAGCAAGCAATGCATTGTAGTGGCGACTGCTGGATTCTTTCTGAACAAACACTGAACAAACGTTTGCAGACTTCTCCGGAAACCAACTTTCGATGGACATCAGTAATTATTCAAAATCAGCGAAGAGGCAAATTTGAAGAGAGTGGGTTACGAAAAGTTCCATTAAAAGAAGAAATGGATCAAATTGTGTCAAGTCAGTCAAGTAGCGCTGATGAACTTACTATCCTCCTTTCCGAAAGCAAGATCCTAAAAACCTAAGCACGGCGAGGCTTTCTAAAAGAGGAATGCTGTATCTGATTTTTAAGCTTTGATCCTTACCACCAGATCGTGCGTTTTAGGCCACAAAATTGCTAAAGCGCTTCCACAGCGTCTCTGGAAGTAAATGTCCAGAGAAAACTATTCAAAAAGGAGCTATTTTAGAAGATCAGGAGGGTATTCTAGTTTTGTCCTACTGCATTCTGAAATCTTTCTGCATCCATTGCTCAATACGAAGAAATTGAAAAGGTGTTAGTTCTTTTAATTCGTTATTATTTTTTTCCAGTGGTGATTTCCTTGGAAACGTGCACAGTTCAAATAAACCTTAATGTGACAAATTTTACGCTTTAATAGCATCAAGATGAAAGATGTTACAAAGTAAATTTGAATGAAATTCTATATCCGCATGAGCCTCCCTCGTATTTATAGATGTAAGTCGTTATTCTCTTTTCTAGCTCTCCTGTCTCTTTTGGCCAAAGAGAGGAAACATTTTGGTTAAGGCGATATCGAAATAAGACATTTTCTCTTCCCGAAAACCTTAAATGAATTGGTTTTTAATTATTTTCAGTTGAAAGATTACTTCAACTTAATGGAAATAACCTCGGTGCAAAAAATGAATAATGAAGGCAACAACGCCAACATATGAACGGATAATCAAGCACTCTTCTTCAGTTTTAATAATCAATTTGTTTCATTTCAGTTTTTTTCCTATGGCAGAGATATGGAACAATGACTCGCCTTTGTCTCGGATGTATCATTTCTGAAGATTTCAAGCGACGTCTGACTAACTTCAATTTCAGTCATACTGAGTTAGTTTTAATTTTGATGATCGCCGGTAATATTAAAAAAGTGAACAATTTACTAGGTCACGTACGTTGAGTTTGAATTTACTATTGAAGGACTAATTGAAGATTTTTGCATTATTGAATGGTATTGTAGTATACGAAAACATAGACAGTCAGGCTCTATATATCGGATCAGTAAACTGACTCGGAGTTACATCCTTGTGAATAAGTCAGGGCCTAGGGCAGTGGAGTTGTCAGAAGGTGCAATTCTGGATGCAGTCGAGAGCTATGAGAGACTGTTTTTACCGGATACTGTATAATTTTCTGGGCCGGGAGCTATATTTCAAATTCAAAAGGTTAGAGTGGCGGGATATTTTTCATCCAAACCAACCTAACTTTCGAAAATGTTCCAAAAACCGGGCGCGGTCTTGCAACTAGAGACCTATAATTTCGAGGATTACGAGATTCGAAGACGACGAGGACGAGATTCAACTTAAAGCTAAAAAAAATCAAAGTTTCTACATTTTCAGTTTATTTTACGTAACATCTCAACAAAAGATGATGGTAGAAACATGAGGCCCCTCAGGTTAATATATCAAGAAATATCTCCTGCTAATACGTGAATTAATACATCTTTGACTTACCTTTAGTTGCCTTGTACCGTTTCAAATAATATCACAGTGGCGTAAAGTACACTTTTTTCGTTGAAGATGGCTATTTCCTATGTGATTGCCTGTTTCAGTGATCTGAGTTTGCGATTAATAACATCTTTATAAGGTCATCACCGGAAAAAGAAAACCGTATTGCTCATTACGCTTAACAAACCTTAGAAATCTGAACGTCAGTTATTCGTCTAAGGCATTGAGTATTTTGTGATAATTAATTTTGATCCGTTACTTTACTACTAAAATAGTGCTTTTAATCATGTTGCGGCGGCTTTTCGCTATTCATAACCGCCCATTACAAATTACAACAAAACACATTTCCCGAAATTTTAATCTTAAATCATATAGATAGCAGAAAATTCACAAGTTTTTAACACTTAGCTGATGCCCTCTAACAAGCAATTAACACTCCCAAACAATATTCTTTTTTGATATTTATTTTTAATCAAACGATCGTTGACACTACGGGAAAAAGAACTACCATCGTCAGTTTAAAAGCTTTTAAAGTAAAAGACATTCTCTTTGTATTAACGTGGCAGTCTTTTAGGGGAAGTAAAACAAGCGCTTAATTGCTGCAATAAATTCCCTTTTCACCGACAATACAGACTTCCGCGTTTCCAAATCACCGGTGAGAGACTATAATCTCTCTGTTTTTAGGTTCTTAACCTTGTTTGTTTTTCTCAGTCTAAAAATTCTTTCTTCGCATTTTTCATAAAAAAGCTCGCGCTTCTTTGGTTTAGTATAGTCGTTATGCCATACAAATAAGTACGTTCCTGACATAAGCGGTCAGTTGCGCAAGTTATTTTGCCTTCGTTATTGCATGAGACGGTACTTCATTTTATCGCCTACAGAATTTATCTTGTCTTGAACGCATAAATTGTGTGTACTTAACACCTTATAACATCTGTACGAGATGAGATTTACCAGCAGTAATCTTTTTAACATTTAGAAATTTAATATTGTTGCAAAGATTTAATAATCTCGATTACAAAAATAAATTCCGATTTTAAACCTTAAATTGTCATCGTTAGTACATCAAATTCCCCTGTCATTATTTCTTGTTTGGCGGTAAACCTTTCGACGAGGAGAATGAAATGAACGGTGTAAAAGACATCGTGCAGGGGCACCCAACGTCAATTTTTGGAAAATATATGTTCGAAAGACGATTTGAGATCTAGAATTTTCGGGATATTTGTTGTAAAATTTCTTGCTTGCAGGCCTCTCCTAGGATTTTCGAACATCTAAAAAATTAACGGATTTTTACCCTAAAAAAATGACACCTAGAATTTTCGGGAGCCTTTTTTCTGGCTGAAATTTTCGAAAAGGTAAGTTTTGATCCCTATCGTTTTAGGATCACTAGACTTTCAGCTAGGAAATCCGAACAGATGAAAAAGTTTTAGGGGATAAAAATATGCCTACATCTACCGTTTAAATACTAAAATACGTTCAACAACGCTATGTTTGTGTGGTTTTGAACTATATTCTCGCTGGGTGCCCCTGATTGTGAATATTGAGACATGCAATGGCAGATGCTCTATATATTTCTTCAACATCTCGTTCCTCTGATGTTTTCCTTATAGAGACTGACACAGATATGCGAGCGTATATCCTTTTGACTACTCAGAGATGAAGGGTTTAAACGCAAACCTTCTACGAAGGTCACTTGTCAGACTTTTTTTGTCTCTTCTTCTTCTTCTTACAATATATTAGCCTGACCAGGTCACCAATGCGATAAAATTTGATTTTTAGGCAGAATATCACGAGTCACTCTCTTCTCCAGGGAGCACTGGAGACGAGGTTGACGAGACACAGTTCAAAAAGCAGCTGCTATACTTTCCTAAGTGACCCAAAGTAAATTTCCCAGGGTATTTTTTAATTAAAATCCCGTCCAGTTGATTTCGGTTTCCAAACACGAATATAGGCCTTTAGACCTTGTATCGTTAAATGGTATTGGTAGACTTTTGTTTGTGCCGGCCTGGAGAGAGATGACAGAGTTTGGAGGCCTTTGGAACAACACTCTTTTGCAAGAGAGGATAAAGTCGTTTCTTCATAAAATGCATAGAAAACTGACCAATCAACACAGACACAGACAATTCCGGGAATAAATTAGAAAACAAAGCAGACACTCTTGCGTACTTGTTACCTTGATGTTCGTTTTAATCCTGATTGGTTAAAACTCCCCTCTGTCCTCAATCCTTCCCAGCGTGCCCTTTTCCACGCTTTCAGCGCCTTTTTAATGCACTTTGGATGTCTTAATCCCACGGGAAAAGACCACTCGAAAAAAAAAGAATGCTGTATTAAGCTAATCAGAAAGTACTTTCCTTTTTGCGCAATACAAATGTATTTACATTTCTGTCAAGGAATCTATAAAGATAAATCTAAATAATTCAGCCCAACCAGGTTGCCAACTCGACAAGATTTTATGACGGATGCAAGGCGTGTTCGCGTTCATTGCAATAAAAGAGAGAGAGAGAAAAACAATGAAGATGTAGTTTTCAGCTTGACTAAGCATATTGTCACTGATTACAATCCAGGACTTTTGTCTGGCTAATTAACTCCAAGATTATTCCACGTAAGCATACTAAATTCTATGTACTCGATTCTTTTACACAGTTATGTAATGGTGTTATAAAATGTCATTAGTCAGGGTGATTAGTGAAAGGGCCGGCTCGCAGAAACTGATGCCGGTTAAATGAAAAAGGACTCTGCTAAATAAACAGAATGAACAGTTTTTAAAAGGGTGTCCAGATTCAGTTAATACCACTGAGAAGAGGCGAAATTAAAACTTGTACATCATGTTCAAGACGTTTATTCACGTGTTGACTAAACCTGCTTTCCGGTTACGTAACTAAGTATTTCACTTATGAAAAACTGTTAAGTCGAAACTGGGCTACGAGGTTATTTTGCAGGAACGATATATTGCCAGCTCCTAAAGGCTTTGTAGGTAGTGAAACAAAGTTGAACCCAGTCTCTTTTCTGCAATAAAATGACAGACGGCTGTTTTCAATTCTGCCTTGTCATAAAACCTGAGCGAAAAAGAACATATTTTGGCTTACGTGCAGACTGAGCTCACGTGCAGACTGAGCTCACGTGACTAGCCAGGCGGCACTTAAAGAATAGTTTTGGTTCCACAAATGGTATGAAAATGTTACATAATTCAAACTATGGGTGTATACAAATCAGTAGAAGCACGGTTGATGTGTCTCAGTTAACCACACGCGCGCTTTGCAACCGGTCGGGTCAATCCTGCACCTGTACCACGCTGAACTGTGGACGGAAAACATGACTGCACAGACAAAAGAAAACCAGAAGGTTCTCTTCTGCCCTGTCGGCTCCCTCTTTTCTCTTTCTATATCCGAACCTCTTGACGAAGACAGTCAAATGCTTTCAGGATGTTTCCAATTCAGCAGCGAGGTGAAGCCAGGATGGATACAGTACGATCCTAACAAGATCACAGTGATCACATCCAATGAGATGTTTAGTCCCGTGGACAGCCCTAGCAGCATTGTACAACCAAAGAAACAGATGCTCCAGCTCGTGACAGAAGATGACGTCTCGACACTAAAGGCTCTTCTAGAGAAGCCAGTCTTGCTCTGTGTTACCAGGCGACATCAGTTCGACAACCCGATCGATGTGTCACCAATGGACGCAGATGTCTGCAACAGGTGTACTGTGAGTGGCTTTGATATTGACTTCGCGGTCGTTTTCCCTCCGGCGCTGTTAAAGGAAAAACTGAAAGAAACTCTTGAACTCATTCGCGTTTACATAAAGAAGAAACGTAAATTTTGCTTTTCCATCGACTTAAAACAGGTCTTGAAGGAGCTAACTCCCCAAGAATTGCAAGAGAGTGACTCAAAGGAGTACGTTTCCTGGCATAACACGGCCTTTTCGCTTACAAATCACTGTAAACCGTACCACTCTCTCATGTACCTCAATACGGTCTTGTTCTGGACCACTTTGTTTCCTTACGCGTTGTTTGTGGCTTTGCCGTATCGTGCGGGACGCCGTCTTCTTTGCAAAGATAAACGCCTAGCAGTTCGTATCCCAATGAAATTCACGTATGGGCATGTGGATGACAAAGTTGTGGTGTTTTTATGGACAAATGACCCTCCCCCACCCGGGGAATACAACAGGAATACTAACAGATTCTCCATAACCGCTGCGCATTTGAATTGGCTACGACCATTCCTGCGGGACTCAAGCATGATCACGTTTGACTTAAACGTGGATAATGGAGACGATTGAAAAGCCAAAATTTCAACTCTTAGGCATTAAATTGGTAAATGACAGGTTTTGGTTTGTTATGAAAGTGAGAAAGACACGTTTTTCAGAACATAATTGTGCCCTGATAGAGCGGTTTTCATTTGAGTGTCGAAAAGTAATTGGTTTTGCACTTTCTACACGATGCGATTGGCTTAAAAGATTCGCGCCACCTTTTCATCCAATCAGAAGTAAAACCAAAGCCAATTGTGACGAAGTTGTGGTGTTTTTATGGACAAATGACCCTCCCCCACCCGGGGAATACAACAGGAATACTAACAGATTCTCCATAACCGCTGCGCATTTGAATTGGCTACGACCATTCCTGCGGGACTCTAGCATGATCACGTTTGACTTAAACGTGGATAATGGAGACGATTGAAAAGCGAAAATTTCAACTCTTAGGCATTAAATTGGTAAATGACAGGTTTTGGTTTGTTATGAAAATGAGAAAGACACGTTTTTCAGAACATAATTGTGCCCTGATATTTCAATCACAGCGAATTTTCCAAGTAAGTTCAGAATACTTGGCTACTTGTCGGAACGCTCAAAAGAACGAGGCGTGACACAATAGGTACTTTTTTAATTAAATAAATTTGAATACGAGATTATTATAGTAATGAAAACACCAGTGACAAAAGAAATCCATGTAAGTGAGTTAGCTTAATTCAGAAAGAGTACGTGCTTCTGTATTTTGTTTTCTTGTGTGTGATGTTCCTATTCAGGACAAAAGGAATTTTTAGAAATAAACTTATTTAAGAGCATCGCGTTTTGTACCAAAACAGGAAGTCTGTCTACCAAAGCTTTTTTGTACTTTCAGTCATTGAAATTGAATCTTTCTCCTCATTGTCGCTGAATACTAATTTTTTATCGCTACAGAGCCTGTGTGCATAAAAAGAAACCAAAATAAAACTATGAAACTAGGTACCTCTTTCGTATGCCTTCCATTTAAAAATGCCCCCCAAATTAAAAGGATCAATATGCCTTAAGTCGCATCATTTCTGTTTTTCATCACATATAGAGACGTAAGGAGTTTCCGGTCGCAGTTTTAAACTAACCTGCTAAACAGGGGCACCCAACCAGAATATAGTTCAAAACCACTTGAACTTAGTATTGTTAAAAGTATTATAATTTTAGTATTTACACGGTAGATATAGGCATATTCTCATACCCTAAAAATTTTTCATCTGTTCGGATTTCCTAGCTGAAAGTCTAGTGATCCGAAAATTATCGGGATCAAAACTTACCTTTTCGAAAATTTCAGCCATTAAAATAGCCTGCGAACGGCAGACATTTCTCCTCTCATCGCCGCTGAGGGACGTTTCACGAGGAGGAACGTTCCTCCTTGCGAAACGTCCCAAAGGGGCGATGAGAGGAGAAACGTCTGCCGTTCGCAGGCTACCATTAAAAAGGCTCCCGAAAATTCTAGGGGACCTTTTTAGGGTAAAAATCCGTTAAAAATGGGCAATTATACCATTTTTTAGATGTTCGAAAATCCTAGGAGAGGCAAGCGAGCAAGAAATTTTACAACGAATGATCCGAAAATTCTAGATCTCAAATCGTCTTCTGAGCAGATATTTTCCGAAAGTATAGGTTGGGTCCCCTGGCTAAAGATCGGTTCTGGCTAAGTCCTGAATGTAAGTGACTAAATTGAGAGATTACAATAAAATGGATGTAACAGAAGTCAGAATTGAACTTCGTGTTGTGTAGTTTTGTGTCTGTAACAAGAGCGGATGAGGTATATAATACACATTCCTGTTACTAAACTACAATCCTGGACAATTTCCTGGGTCATTTCTCGGTTCCCTCTTAAAACGGTGCATCCTTTTCGAAAATTTCTTGCAGTTCTCCCTCCCCCCACCCTATACAAAGTTGAAACTCGAAAAGATTCTGGATACACGTGTCCATTGTTTGCGGGGTGAGGGGAGGGGTTGGACTTGTGTGAATTGGCAAACGCCCCAGAAATGCAAAAGTGTCCCAAGACTTCGTATTTCAAATCTCACTATATCAGCTGATCTTCACGGACTTTTAGTGACTTTTGGCTCCTGAAGAATTTCTTCACTTAAAAAACCACAGGCCATATTGTCAAAAACACTCTCTCTGAACATCACAAGACCTTACAACTTTGCTATACCTTGAAATATTTGGAAATTTTATATGTGAACGGCCAAGGCAACCTCCAAAACACAACAGTTAAATGTTAATTAATGCAGAAGTTAATATTTACTTTAACTCTTGAATGACTAAATTTTCACTAAATAACCGTCAACCGTCAGAGCTACTACCCCGTTGAGACCCTCTGTCTAAGCTAACTGGAGAAAATGCAGGTTCCTGGTGGCGGGTTTTTGCTGTGTCAGGGGCCCTACGAAGGTGCCCTGTGGTACAGATAACAAAGTAAACCACTTCCGGCGATTCATGATCAGTGCCGTCGACCACAAGACGCGTTGTTTTCGGTTTGTGAAACAGAATTTATGTAACAGTGCGGGTGACCATCACACTGTAAACGTGTTTGCGATCGCTAAGTCGTTGAAGGTGTTTTTCAGCGATTCAGATTCAGATCTTTGTGTTTGCCTATCGAAACTTAATAAATATTTATGTTCTACTTTAATTGAGCGCCAAAAAATTACATTGATTCATAGATTTTTCCATCTTCAAAAATTGAATCTCTCCACAGATTCGAAATTAAGTGTTGAAAGACTGACAAAAAATAAGCAAAAGCAAAGTAAAACACGATATTTTTGGTTGTGTAAACGGAAGTCAGTTTATCCTTGACAAAGCGAGATATCAGAATTAAATAAATTGACGTCTTGCAGCTCACAAATGCATAAAAGAACATTCACCATCTGTCTAACCCTCTCGTAAGCATAAAACGAAGTTACATGTATGGAGGGAGAGATGAAACAATATCTTATTTAATGAGTTTGTCCATAAATAGACGATTTTTTTCCCTAGATTTTTTCATTGGACGTAAGCAAGACATGGAATCCATTTTGACGTAGTACTTTTAAAATTTTTGCTAATCGGGAATAAATTGTAATTAAAGTAAACAGAACCTTAGCGGAGGTTAACATTTTGGTGGTAGAATATAACGAGAAAAGTTAAACCGTTTACAGTCTACAAAGGAAAATTCTTAGTCTCTGCGGACGTACATTCTTTCATGAAAATGTTATCGCTTACATAAGATCATGTTTTAATAGTAATCAGTTTAATTTCAAAGGCACTCACCTTTCCAAAGTATGAGTTTTTCTCTGATCTCTCAAGTTTATGAAGTTCTTGTTTTCCGATTTCTCTGGTCTCTCTTCGCGTCCGGCTGAATGAGCGGATTGAATAGCGTACAATATATAAACCCTCACGGCTGCCAATTATTTGTACCTTTAATCGGAAATTTCTCTTTAATCATATAACAGGAAAACCAACAGAAAATGCGTCGGAAAAGTAATATTTATCCCTTTGTGTAAAGAAGATATTAGAATTTAAAGCCTTTTTTATGAAATGACGAAAAAGTACGATTAAAATCAAGAAAGATATATTACTTAAATTTCCCACTTCTTCTCAAAGTCGATTGAAATTGATTGAAAACTCTTTAAAAGCAATAGAGCCAAATTCGCAAAAGGGTTTCATTTTGTTATTCACTACTAGACAGAATTCCAAGAAAGCTGTCAAAGACTTTCAATGTAATTTAATTTTCACCAAAAACGAACTGTCAGAGGTAAAAATGAAAACGAAAAACATCTTTTCTCGCGGATGATCTAAAATTTTTCTTTTTGCAAGACAGTTACGATCTCGTTGTATTGGCTGTAATAACTTATAGTTATAATATTGTGGCAATAGTATAATTAAGATGTTCAAATCAATTGACAGCTAATAAAAGTGCTATTTTAATCTCACCAGTTAAAAATACGCGCATTAAAATAGTTTACATCCTGACAGAAAATTCCAGGTAATTGACATTGATTTTGCAGATTATGTAGTACTGCTGGTTTTCTTGATCTTATCTAATTGTACTAATTGTATCTGACACTCCTCTTTGACCAAAAGTATTGATTAGCAGTAACAATGCAATGTTGGGAATTCCGGCTATTAACACAACATATAATCCTCTTTTCCTAGTGTAAGCAATGTTTTGTAAAGTATTGCAAAAATCTTTTTAATTCTTTTTAAATTTCTAAGAGTTTCGCTGTGATCATGGAAAACAATAACAATCAGCTAAAATTAAACAATTACGTTGTTGAAAATTCAATTCACTTTTCCGCACTTCTGTCCAATAGACTTAACTTTTAGTGAAATGATTTAATCTAGCTCATTAAATAATTGCCATTTAAAACAATATCTTACCTCCAGTCTCAACAGGTTCAGGGATAAAAACCTGAATTTTAAGAATTAATATGAAACGTATCGTACGGTGTTTTTCGGATAATTTGTAATATACGAAAGGAATTCAGTTATCGAATGTATTCCACTTCTGTCCAAAGCACTTATTAACTCATGATTTAATCTCGGTCATTCAATCATTGCCAGTGAAAACGATGAGATTCCATACCTCTAGGCTGTGCAAGTTCAAAGATGAAATCCTGAACCGTACGAATTGAAATGAAACTTCAGTCTTGCACTATCTTTTGGATTGTAATGCCATAGTAAAATGTTCAACGAGGTCGATCTCACATTTAATCCAGTTGTTAAAATAAATCTATAAAATGTGTTNCAATATCTTACCTCCAGTCTCAACAGGTTCAGGGATAAAAACCTGAATTTTAAGAATTAATATGAAACGTATCGTACGGTGTTTTTCGGATAATTTGTAATATACGAAAGGAATTCAGTTATCGAATGTATTCCACTTCTGTCCAAAGCACTTATTAACTCATGATTTAATCTCGGTCATTCAATCATTGCCAGTGAAAACGATGAGATTCCATACCTCTAGGCTGTGCAAGTTCAAAGATGAAATCCTGAACCGTACGAATTGAAATGAAACTTCAGTCTTGCACTATCTTTTGGATTGTAATGCCATAGTAAAATGTTCAACGAGGTCGATCTCACATTTAATCCAGTTGTTAAAATAAATCTATAAAATGTGTTACCGATCATTCAGGAATATACAGTTACTGTGCTAAAAACAATACAAACGTAACTCAGTTAAGTTTAATTTTCTCCACACTTGGAAATCTATGTGAGAGACTTATATGTAGCAACTCTGATAAAACCTAACAAGTAAATTATGTTCCTGTGGTACTACATTGTAGGAAGCAGTTCTAACCTTTGAGACAGTGGTTTTCCAAGAAAAAAAAATAACTTTGCCTTTCATGCAGTGATTAAGAATCTTCTCATTCTCTGCTTAATTTTATTTATTCATCTATACCTTATTGTGTGCTTTAGTTTGTTTTCTACTAGTCGGCCATATCAAAGATGATAATTTTTTCCCTCGTTTTCCTTCTGGGCCCAAGCTTGTCATTAAGAGAGAAGATAAAAAAAAGAACTCTTAAACCTTAGCTACTAAACACAGTGACTTCTGAGCGTCAAGTTAAATTAAAAATCCTACTGAATTTGATGACGACATGTCGAATACCGACGACAGAAATTAGAACTGTTTCCTTTGCATTATATAAGTAAAGAAAAAGTTAAACTCATAATTGCAAGACACTGCCATCTAGACGTTTCTGAAATAAAAAAAACAAATAATGATTATTGCGACGCATCGTCTCCTATTAGTGAAGTTTGTGATCGTTTACAGCTTTTCAAAATAACCTGTCACTATCCGCAGGAATATTTATACTCAGCGAATAAATCATATTTTCTAGAGCAACCTATATGAAGATCTGTTACCGCGACATCCCAGAAGCAAAGCAAAAACATAAAGAAACACAAGAATATCACAAACTTTAGCCTAAGCGAATATGGTTCACCAGAGAGGGTTCAAACACTACATCTCCTGCCTGTGTATAATACTATTACGACACATCTACACTAGGGGGACCCCTTCCTAGGAGGCACAGCCATAGTAACATTCTAAGCGTCTTACAATTACATCATAACCCCTCAAATGTTTCAGTAATATGAAAAATATTCATAAGTTCAGCGCCGATTTTGTAGTACTGAGTTCCGAGTATGAGTCTCGTATTGGTGGGGGCTGAGGAGTAGGCCTTTGTGTAAGAGACGTTAGTTTGATTTATAGTTGAACCGTGAAACAGATACTAACACTGAAATAGTGCAAAACATGAATAGAAGACAATAGATTTAGTTTATAATAGTGCGTAGTATTCTACTACCGTATTTCACTGTTCAAGTAAAGTCACACTAAAGGCAGTTTAACCTTTTAAAATCGTTTGATCTTAGATTGATGGTAAAGATTTCAGCCAAAGTGGTCTGAGATCTTCTGATAGCTGGCGTTCCTTTTTGTGTACAATTTTTACTGGCTCACCAGATTTCAGCGTAACTAACGCGCTCAATAAAGACTGGAAACAAGGCTGAAAGTTCAATTTTGTATTCCATCACACTTGTATAAGAAAGTCGGATGTTCACAGCATAGATCGATATTTTTTTCAGTTTCAGATTGACAAAGTTAAATTGGTACTTTTCTAATAAATGTTGTTGCATGATTTTTATATTCCTCAAGGATCTGCCTCCTCCTACCCAGATCTCTCTCTCTCGTCATGTAAGTTTAACTCAAAGGGGTAGGAGAAACGTAAAAGCTGAGATTATATCTTACAACTTCCCTTGTTTTTGGTTATCTCAGCCTCGACAGGTCACCACGATGAACAAAGAAAACTACCACCCTAGCTCTAACAAAATAGGAATGTAAAATTTCCGGAGAGCGTCGTGTATCGTCGCGTAGGTTTCGTCTCCCCGGAATCCCCTGTCGGAGCCTGCGAACGACCACTGCCTTGAAAGTGGTTTCTACATATGATATACGTGAGTATAAGTAACATACGCATGCCTAAAAGCGTTCTGATCATTTGCATTAAAGACCAATAACTGTAGAGGTTTCGGAGAGGTTCGTGTATCCTCGTGCAGGTTACGCCTCCCGAGAATTCGTCGTAGAGCCTGCGAACGACCATTGCCTTGAGAGAAGTTTCGAACTCGACCAGCCCATTCCCATCTTAATGAGAATTTCACTTTTAAGCAAAACTAAGCATCCAGATTAGTCAAATCCAAAATATTATACACAGAAGAGATGGTTTTTCAGCTAAACCGCTTGGAAAAAGCCTATTTCATTGCCAGAAAGTCTGGTCCGGCCATGGTCCGGCCGGCCAGTTCTGACTTTTGGAAAGCGCTCTAACATACGATATGAGTACATGCAACAAACTCATGCGCAATAGTGTCACGATTAGCACCTTCGTTAGGGCAAAAGACATTTAAAACAAGATACTGCTTGTTGAGCTTTTTTATTCTTCCACCGTACGTGTAAATTATACCACTGACTATGACCACTAATTGAAGCTGCTTTAATATACAATGCAATTAAGTTGTTATAATGATAATCCTATAAATATTCAGTCATTAAAATAGAAATGTACATTGAATACTGTAAATATTGTTTGTGCCATTTGGAGCGAAACATTAATTTTCGGAGTCGAATACAATTGAGTTAAAGAAGATACTGACGTGATCAAGTCTCGCTAAAAAAGCTCCAAAAAGTATAATTTTTCAGAAACATGACAAGATAAGGCCATTTACTTGTTGTGATTCAATAGCACGTTGTTAGGAAATTTGACTTATTTAGCTTTATTTTTTGCATCAAAGGTATGACAAAATTAAATTACACTGAAGCAAGAGGCAAAGCACGGCAGCTCAGATGTGCGGATGACAGTTTTAATTTTGCGTGCATCAAAATAAGTTTATATCGCAGACATCTTTGACAAGACTTTAATTTCATCTTTAGGGAAGAATCGAGGTTTAACAACGTTTTGACGAAGCGCAAGATGACCCGCAAGACGGACTCTACTATACGTCTTGAATCCATACATTGGTAATTCAGTGAATCACCTAGGCGTCTCGCATTCAAAGACGTTTTTCAATTCACTCCTTAGTACATGTACTCTTCCTTAAACTCAAGGTGAGTGTTGCCTGCATGTCTTAAGTACAGTTTCCGAATTCTCACGTGAGCGTAAGGCTAGAGAAGTCCTCAGAAGTTCAAGTCAAGCCCTTCTGAGAAAGTCTACCTCTCAGAATAACTTAGGTCTTCCTTCTCTTTAAGCGCGAGTTTGAAGCTCTTGTATTTATTAGTTATTCCCCAAAGTCGAAAGACACAATATTACAGTCCTGAAAAAATGGTTTTAAATCTGACACCTTTGCTGCTCGTAGCGAGAAATGATTTGCGTGTTTTTTGTACGAACCAGGCGGTGGTCTCTCCGCAAACCACACAAATACTGCGACGGTGTCTTTGCACTCAGCCACAAACGTCAAAGCAGTCTTTATATCCACGTGGGAGTCTTTGCACAACATTTTACGGACTGCTCTGTAGGGAAGTGCAACAAAAAATGAAAATGGAAAAAGAACGGTCCAGAACAGGAGACCGTTGACGTACATCAGTGAATGATTCGGTTTGCAATGGTTTGTGAGCCAAAATGCTGTGTTATGCCATGACACATACTCCAGCGAATCGGGGTCTTGTACTTCGGGAGGTGTCAGTTCTTTCATCATTTGCTTGATGTCGATCATAAAGCAGTATTTACCTCTAGCAGTGATTTTCTCGCTTACATTTCGTAAGATCTTAGCGAGGAGTTCCCTGAGAACGCCGGGCGGAAAGATAACAGCAAAATCAATGTCGAAACCGTTCATAGATCGGAGTTCTCTTTCCAAGAGATTCAGTGATAAGTTTTCCGTCACCGAACTCGAACCGTCAGTTTGGGCAATGTTCGGACAGTTCTGACGCCTTGTGACGCACATCAAAACTGGCTTATTCAGCATGCTCTTAAACTTTAAGAGATCAGATTCGTTTTTTACTGTTACCATCTGCTTGTTCAGGTCCAAAATATCGTCACACTGAACCAATGGACGCAAACTATCGTTGCAGGATATAACTGTGATTTCATTGGGGTTGTATTGAATCCATCCTGGTTTCACCTCTTCCTCAAATTGAAAACAATCCTGTAACTTGTGGCTTTCTCTGAATTGCTTCTTGATGATATAACGACGAAGGCAAGTTAAAGGGCAGAAGATAATTGCTTTGTGCATCGCTAGTTCTAGTTAAAAGCACTTTCTTTAGTAATGTTCTTCTACTCCGTTTCTGAACTTCGCTAAATCGTCGTGTTAATTAGGTTACAGATGTTCTGACACCATTACTATAATGGCTCGGTCGTGGTATAAGATAATTAAAATTTCTCTCAGCGTTGTTTACTTCAATTTCATGTGGAACTTAAATCCCAATGGGTTTTGGAATCATTGAAATCCGATTTAAATAAGAAAGAAAAGACGATATTGGAAACTCGTGGATTTATTTTCCGCACGAATGTTACGTTGGTGATGCAGTAAGTAAGCAAGTTTTTTCGAAGTGAAAACCGCGTTCGAAAGCATGCCCAAGATATGTCATTGAAGCGAATATAAATAAGGTTGAAAAGTTATTTCGCAATTTATTTCTTTTGTAAATATTTGTACAATTGGTGGTTGGTTGAAGAAGAGTCTGGTGTTACTTTTTCAACTAATCAGAATGGCGCGAGAAACCGTAATTGCAGATTTAAAGGCCCCGTCCACACGTATGCAGATATTTTGGAATCCGCAACTTTTTCTTTCCGGATTCAAAACTGTCCACGTCCACACGTATCCGTATCCAAATCTAATTTGCCCGTCCACACGTATCCGACACGTATCTAGCCTATTCCAGGCGTTCAGATAGTAGAGTGCGGTGGTAAGTGGGGAGCGAGTAAGTTGTACACCGTGAAAACGATGGGGGGGGGGGGAACGTTTTTTTTCTTCATGAATTTTTCTTCCGTGCTCTACTATCTGAACGCCTGGAACAGGCTAACGTGTATCCGGATTTACTCTCGTACCCAGGACTCCTCTGGGAATATTGGCAACAGAGCATACGTCGTAAGGCGCACGAAATTTGCACCTTGCTCTGCCTTGTAACATTATCTCTAGGCGTGGACGGAGCCTCAGTAGATCCTTAGTCTGTGGCATATTTGTTTGTCCCCTCCACTAACTATGGTCCCGTGGCATATTTTTTTGAGGTCCTTTGCAGTCAATGTTCACTCTTATGGCCTCAGTTACGAGGATTTTGCTGTTAGTTTCAAGGTCAATTTTGTACTCAAGTCATTACTTAGTGCCATGCCATACACAAAATGAACCTATACAGGAGCCGAGTAGTCGGCTCCTGACCTGTAGAGTTATGAAGACGACATGAACCGGGCATGAAACAGGGAGATTTCATCAGCATGGAGCACTGATCATAAAATAAATGTTTTTGTGATTTTTGCAGGCATATCAGTCACAAAATGGAACTTTTTCAAGTTTCATTCCATGTCCATTCTTGCCATCCGTTGCAACAGACGACAGGAAACAGTTTCAATGCCTAGACACAGTCTTAAACAAAAAAAAACTGGACTATTATTTTAGGAATTCAGTTGCGAAGACAAGGTGTAGCTTTTTTACAAGGTAGCAAATTGCTGGTTTGCACGTGACGTCACGACGGCCATGTTGGTGGTCCAAAGCATTTCTCTCCTCTGGAAACTAAACCCTATTTTCATGTAAATTTTTGGAGAAAAAAAAAATGTATTGTTTTGACCACCAACATGGCCACCTTGTCACGTGGTTGCAAGCCAAGAATCAGCCTGACATGGCTCGTTAACATTTACAGCAGGAGCTTGTTACAGCTATAATTATCTGATAACCGCTGTCAGGAGCCCGCTGTCAGATAAATTCGGAGAAAAAAAGAAAAAAATCGAGAACGCATGCAACCAGCAGGTATTGACGACGAGCGATGCTTCCTAATGACGAACAGTGACAGTTTAAACATTGTTCACATTTTATTAACGTCAGAACAGGTCTGAAGGAAGAAAAATTCCCGTTACACCGATGAGTAAGGCTTGTGGCTACAATTTACCTCGCCAACAAACTTGTTACCTTTGTCATCAAGAAAAAAGCCAACAGAAAATTGATAAATTGAGATGGAGATTGAGATTAAGGCACTTATATATTACGTTGCGCCGGGCGTTGAGCTTTTGTTCACTTACAAGACTTAAAATAGAAAGAATGAAGAAAAAGAGCCAACAAAAAAATGCTTGGTTAAAGATACCTTTTAAATGCTTAACTTTCAGGTTTTAGCTGTTTCGGTTTCCTAAACAAACTGTGGATGATATTCAGTTTCATTTTTCTTGAATGCATTTACTGCTGGTCTTTTTTGTGGCAAAAGGGTAAATTTGCCTTACAGTTAACAGAAATAAACGATGTTAAAAATTGAACTAATTGATGTTACACTGATGTTAATCGTTTTTACAATGCACATTCTTGGCGGGCTCTATAAAAACGAGACAAGAAACTTGAAGTCTAAGCTGAACCCCCCCCCCCCCCCCCCCCGCCGGGGGGAACAAGCTGAAAAAAAAAAAAAAAAAAACCAGGGGCGGAAAAAAAACAAACAAAAAAAAAAAAAAAAAAAAAATAAAAAAAAAAAAATATTTTATTTTTTTTGCTTTTTTCATCACCTCTCCTTACCCACCCCCACCCCTCTCCCCCCACCCCCCACCCGTATCGTTCCTAGAACCACCCTCAAAAAGAAAAATTAAACAAAAAAAAAAAACATAAAAAAAAAAAAAAAATAAAAAATTCTAATTCACACCTATTTTATATTGTTATAAAACACCCCCTTCTCGGGGGGACAAAAAAAAAAAAAAAAAAAAACTTAAAGGCAAACCCACCCCCCCCCCCCCCCCCCGGCCGGGAGCTGAAACGATTTAAGTAAAAAGTAAAAACTCTCAGGGTGACAACAGAGACCAACGAAAAAAAACTTTAAAAAGATTTGTACAAATAAGGGTTATTATTTTTTGGCCGTCCTGATACCTCATTTGCCTCGAACCCTGACTACCTATCCCCTCCCCCACCACGGATAAGTCTTTCTATAAGGTACCATCCATTCCCCCACCATCCCTCCCACGCCACTTGAGTTGTTTCGCTAGCTGCGGATTTCACCATGAGAGACAAGTACGTGGTATATTAGTTACCAAAAGTTCTTCTCCCTTCATGTGAGGAGAGAAGTGAGTTTCTTTCAGTTACTTTAGTGGCCCAAGGGTTTCAAGAAAGTGGTGTGCTGAGTGGCATGACCTAGTCATTCGACTGTTCGGTCAAGAGCCCCACTAAAGGTTAAACGCGCCAGCAGTTTATTTGGACTGTTACTTCGTTTCTACATCTAATCAACCGATGCGGATCAGAAGGCACTATAAGCTGATCAATGGTACTAATATTCAACGAAATCGTTTGATCTGTTTCATTAGATCTTTCTATCTCTGAAGAAATTAATATTGTGAGAAGAAATCAACGTTTTAGCAGTCACTCGGTGCTTGAAGAAACGTGAACATCGCACGTGGACGGAATCGCTTTTCTCTTCATTCATTGGAACAACGTAAGCTTACCACTACGACATCAATTAAACGGAAAAATGGTGGAAGGAGCAACATCTACAATGAACGTTGATCTCAATATTATAAAACGGATGTGTAAAGATTTTACGGCTGGTGCTGTGGGTGGGACAGCCTGTGTTTTAGTAGGACAACCCTTTGACACTATCAAAGTAAAAATGCAGACTTTTCCATCACTTTTCAAAACAGCATTTGACTGTGGCGTTAAAACAATGAAACAAGAGGGAATTAGAGGCCTCTACGCTGGTACTATTCCGTCTTTGGTGGCCAACATTGCAGAAAACTCTGTACTGTTCTTGTTTTATGGCCAGTGCTTATCTGTAGTGAAAAAGATAGTGGGTAAACAGGATGAAAAAGAACTAGGCGTGCTTCACCGAGCCGTTGCGGGAAGTGGGGCTGCAGTGTTCTCATCCTTTGTTCTATGTCCCACAGAATTAGTTAAGTGTAAGCTTCAAGCTCAACATCAAATGAATGTCCTGGCTGGAAAAACCGGAGTCAAGAGGTAATTTTCTTATGAATAAATCTGAGAGTTGGGTCACATTGTTAGCATGGTTGTCATGTTGACACCCATGAGGGGCAGGGTACTTGTGTAACTGCGGCAGGTTAGCTCAGTCAGTAGAGCACTTGCCTGCAGAGTGGGAGGTCATGGGTTGGAATCTCGCAACTGGACCAATACTCAGGGTTTAAAAATGACTGAAAAATGAAGGTACTGCCTTTGCCCTGCAAATGGCTAGACCTTCGCGTGGCTCGGATGACCATGTAAAGTGGGGGTCCTGTCTCCAATAGGAAACGTAAAAATCTGATAGTGTCCCCAATTAGTGCTTTCGTGCTAAATAAATTAAAAATCAAAAATAGTGCATTGTGTGTGTGTCAGTTTTGAGTTTGGATTTAAAAAAAATTCATTCAACCAGACTACCCCATTCATAGCCTGCAGAATAGGCATTTTTCAGGCAAACAAATTATGCACATGCACAATGGGATTAGGTACGGAAAAAATAATGCCTGTTCATACACCATTGTTTCCTCCCCTTGACACACATGCAAATGAGCAATGAGTCACAGTATTTTGTTCTGTGCCTTCCTCTATCACACATGTCTCACACTGTATGCGAGTTCATGCTTGCCTTTGCTCATGAAAAATGCAAAAAAGATGCCTGCTCTGCAGGCTAACCCTTTAATACACTGTCATAGAGCACTCTCATTTGAAAGTTTCTCTACAAAGTTTAATACCCCCGTCCAAAAACTGGGCATCCACAGCTGGAAATCAACCTCAGTGGTTAAAATGTTGACTAAGGAGAAGTTGTTCCAACCATACTTGAATATGGAGCATTTTCACTCATGTGCTCAGTGGCTATGTAAATTTACCGCAACAAAAGAAAGTGTTTACACAGGAAAGGAGTTCAGTTCTCAGTGGTTGGGATACCTACATGGCAGGCGTGATGTCATGTGAAAAAGGTCTATCGCTGGTGAAACTTTTTTAAGGATCTTTGAAGATCCTTGAAGATCTGCTTGAAAATCCTTTTTATAGTGCAGATCTTTGAGGATCTTTATTAAAAATCCTCAAAGATCTTCAGAATTCTTGCCAAGATCCTCAAGGTTCTCATAAAGATCTTTGAGGATCCTTGAAGGTATTTGCAAGTATCTTGAAGATTTTTGTGGGAATCTTTCAGATCTTTGTTAAATGCGTAAAGATCTTTGGCAAGATCCTCACAGATCTTTCACATATCCTCTCAAATCTTTGCAAGATCCTCAGGGATCTTTTCAGATCCTCACAGATATTTGTCGTATTATCCTCACAAATCTTTGTAAGATCCTCACAGATCTTTGCCAGGTCCTCACAGTATGTATGGAAATTTTTTCATGGCTAAATTATGGCATTATTATGGATTAAATTAAGAAATCAGACTCGATTTGAGTTCACGGGAGTAGATTACATTCAAATTTGCCACTTTAAGGCAATTTGCCTTGAATGATTGTATGTGTCTCAGCCTAAAACTCAAAACATCAGGAGAGGAAATTCTAGTAAGGTGTGAGGCATCAATTTCTTTAGAGCTCATCTCTCTCTATTTGACTCTCCTTCCAGTGGTGTTATGCAAGTGACAATGCAAATTATCCATCAAGATGGCTTTCCAGGTCTCTTCCGTGGAATGGTCCCCACACTTATAAGAGAAGTACCAGGGTATTTCTTCTTCTTTGGAGGTTACGAGTTAAGCCGGTATCTTCTTACTCCAAAAGGAAAAACTGTTGATGAGATTGGTGAGTATTTATTTCTTGTATATAGCTGAGTGTCGCAAAAATATTTACAAGTATGTGCTTCAAATTTTCAGTTGACAGTGTAATGGTAATATATTGGATGTCATAAAATAGTTCAAAAGTTGCCACCTTGTTTGAGGTCTGTTTTTGTTTTTTGCACTGCATTGCACATGATAGTTTATAATGGCGGTATACCACACCCTACCCTACGAGCAGAGGCCCTTTGAAGGGCCTCCACTTGCAGGGTAACCACACCCAGGGGGGACAACTTTCCTATAAGAGTGACAAGGGTGTTCAACAGACGTTTCAATCCCCCAACCCCACTTTCCTCAAAATCTCATTTTATGGGTGTGACCCTCACAGCGTGCAAGGAAAGGAGTGTCCGATAGCCCGGGACTAGTGGATTTTGCTATCGGGCTAGCAAATTCTGTTATTAAGTTGCCCGACGGGCAAGTGAGGCTTTTTGAGGAATTCAAATTACAGAAGAACTGTGAAATCAATCTGCTCGTCAAAACGTTTCTGGGGCTAGTTGAAATAATGCTTGGGCTAGTAAATGTTAGCTTCAGCTTGCCCGAATGGCAAGCTGTAAAAATGATTTTCTTTGCACCCTGCCCTCATGAGGTCCATGCAATTCCAAAACAACAAATTAGCTGGCATTAACCACTGACCACATGGCAATATAGAAGATTCAAATAGCAAATAGCTCCCATCATAATTTTGGTGAGTGCTTTGTTGAGGGTGCAAAGTAATGTTTATTTCTTTCACAGGTGCCTTGAGACTAACTTTCTGTGGTGGTATGGCTGGTATTTCTCTCTGGATTGTCATTTTTCCAGCAGATGTGATCAAGTCTCGTATTCAGGTATATTACATGATTATAATGAGTTGTTTCCTGTAGTTTATTGCGTGATGTCATGTGCATATTATCAGTTGCATATTATGGGAAATATAGTTGACTTGAGCAAATGGCTGTCTGTGACTGAAGTTGCTTGTTTTCTTCGTCGTATTGCTTCTGCCATTAACACACTTCATTTCCAAACATTCTATTACCTGCAGTAACTGGATTCCTGAGGAGCTCACTAATGAGAGCTTTGACTGTATTGAATTTCTTTGGTCTATAATATCAGTACTTAAAATAATGCTAAAGGAATTAGTTTTAAGACAGAACAGATGCACATTTTTGATAAATTTTCTTTTCTCCAGGTATTGACTCACGGATCTGACAAGGCGCCTGGATTCTTTGAGACAATGTTTAGAATAATACGCAATGAAGGTTGGTCAAATTCAGTCCAGTGTTGTGTATTATTTTATAACTTAAGGTTACAAGTTATAATAACAATCCTGCTCATGGAACTGATTGTTCTCCAAGATGACAGCTAATAATTTACCAGCAAAATGTCTTTCAAACTTAAAATACATGTTCTAAGTACCCATGTTGTAATAGGTACCTACCCCGGCCCAGCACAAGTAACCACCACTTATTTACTAGTTATCTGACTGATATGTATTCCATGTGCTTGCAGAGTTATTTCATTAAATGAATTAACTTTACACATGGACATGGGAGACACAGATAACTGAGTGAAGTTATCATAGCCGAAACAAAATGTCTATTTGTTGAAGTTTTACTAAAAACGTTATAAGTGCCCTTTTTGACTCCGTGCCCACTTTTTGGTGAAAATGTTAGATAAGCACCTTGATGGTTACTTCATTATTTTGACAAAATAAATTAGGTGCTGTAGTCATACGATTGCAGATATCCTAAGCTTTTAGGCAGCTTCTGGCCAAGTGCAGTACTGTTTGCTAAAAGTATCCTTACTTGAATTTGAGCTTCAAAATACATTGCAAGAATTGGCCATTTACTATTGACAGCAAGTTTCTAGTTACTTGTAACCTGGGTGGGGGGGGGGGGGTACTT